GGGGGGGGGGGGGGGGGGGGGGCTTACGGCGGTGGCAGGTGGCGCCCACGTAGCCGGTGCTGGAGCAGTCGCAGCGGAAGTCCGTCCAGGTCTGGGAGCATACGCCGTCGTGCTCGCAGTAGTTGGGCAGACACCTGAAGGAAGGAGCAGAGCTGTCTGTTCCCACCTCGGTCACCCTGAACCACGGGTCATTCGGGCTGAAGCTACGTAAATACACGGAGGCCACGTGCCAGCCACTGACACGGGATTCAACATGGCCACAAGGAGTGAGCTGCTCCTACGAGTGTCCCCTCTGGACACTCAACCCCGAGTTAATAAACCTGCCCGACTCTGCCCTTCACCGTGCGTCAGGGACAGCGGGACTTGGGGTTCTCCCCTTTATAACGCAGAATCGTTTGTCTTTTCTAACAAAATCATTTGTGTCTTCTTACGTGTGGCCAGAAATAGCGGCTGCTTACAAAATTCACAGAGATGCTTCATCGTGTTGAATTATTCCATTGCTTAAGTTTGCAACAGGAAGAACAGAAGCGGAGGGGAGAGACCGAGAGCAGCGATGGGGGAGCAGGGACAGGCAGGTAAATCCTGTCCCCACGCGACACTGGCCCGGGACCCCCAGGGGCATGAGTTGTGGGCTCACGGTCATTGTTGGGATGATTCTTCCGTCTAGGATTTAGAGTAAAAGTCCGGTCAGGACCAAAGTTTCACATGCATTTTGTTTCCCCCCAAAGAAACAAATCAGGAAACACTTGGGAAAATCCAACAGCCATCTGTACGTGACGGTCACTCTACCCAATTAGGATAGAGAAGGGGACACTTCAAATTTCACTTACAAGACTCGTACAGATTTTCATTGATTATAGTATAATTGATTTTCTTGAATACAACAAAGTAAATGTTCATTATCAAATATTCAAACAACCCAGAAGAGTACCAAAAAAAGTAAAAATCATTTGAAACCTTAGCAATAAAATCACCGTTATAGGTACGCCTGTTTGTTTACATTTAAGGACATAACACGTACTTATACATGATATTTTGCCACCTTTTAATCAATGATTCATTAATATGCCATGATTATCTCCATGTCAATAAACTTATGTTTGAATTAGCACTCGATAGGTCAAAGAAATCCGCTACCTCAGTTACCATAATTTATCTGCAATGTTCTCTATTTGGATTTATTGGAACCTGGTGTGATGAAGACAGTTCATAAACAAGGAAAGTCAACAGTGTGACCGACACCACTAGTGGTTACTCAGATCCACGACGACAGACCCGGGTGTTTTCCTGCAGACACTAGAGAAATGGCTTCAGCCCGTGAAGAGCTGGGCCACTGTGTGGAGACTGGAGACGCGGCCCTTCCGCCTGCGGCGAGTGTGCTGATTTCTAATTGGTCTGATTCACAACCCACTGGCCGCATCATTTTTCCTATTTCGGGGCTGGCAGGGGGTTTACTGTTGTGAACTGAGGAGGTGAGACGTGTCCTGTTCATTCAGGGCTGCCCTGATGTGGGTCCCCCATAAACGCTGCCCGGTGGCCTCTCCGACCCCGAGCCCCAGCATCTCCACCCCGAGGCCTCAGACACGATGGTCATTGTGTGAACTTCTGCAGACAAAAAAACCACCGCCCAGGGGGACGTGCCTTGAAAGAGCTCGACTCACGTGGATTCCCTCCCTGTCTGCATGTTTCATTCTGAGAAAGTGAAATGGGGGCTCCTGGGAACTAGAGGGTGTCTTTTCTGCTGGCTCACTCTTCCCCTCCAACACCAGGGACCATGCACGGGACCAAGGGCGTCCTCCCAGCCCTGGACCAGCGGCCATTCCCCTCCCCTCACCCAAAGCCCCGGACCTGGGCTGGGAAGGAGATCCCTGACCACGTCTGTCACCAGGTGCAGAAAGGAAGGAAGGAGGTGTGGGCAGTGCTGGGAGACGAGAGCACGTGGGTGTGAGCGAGCAAGTGTGCATGTGAATGAATGAGTGTGAGAGTATGTGAGTGCATATGAGTGTGTGTGTGTGTGAGTGTGTGCGAGTGTGTGCGTGTGTGTGTGTGTACATGTGTGGGTGTGGCTCCTCCCCCATGCACAGGAGCTGGGCTGTCATTGCAGCGTCGGTTTATTATGACTGGAGACCTGGACGCCCACTGCACAGAGGTGGGGGCCCCCTTCCCTTTCTGGACATAGAAAAGCATCGGTGCCACCTCACAGGAGGCTGTGCTCCCAGTGAGTGCTGGCCTGGTGTGGGCAGTTCTGGAGGTGTCCTCAGTTCTGACAGGCAACGGGGAGCCCTGTTGAACAACGCACTGTCACCAAGCAGAGGGCACCTGGGATGCTGGCATCCTCCACGCACAGCATCTGAGAAATGAACTATAGAAGTCTAACCTGGAGCAGAGTGTTAGGAAACCATACATTTTCACATACGTGAAGGACCAGGTTGTATCAGAGGGTGTGCGTGTGCTCAGCTCAGCCACACAGTAGACATAGCTGGAGGGACGAGTTTCACTAGAGCCACCAGCAATGGCCAGAATGGAGTGACAGGAGGATCTACCTCCCACCTGAATGGACAAAGCACATGGAGTGGTGGCTCATTTTCAAGACTCTGGTCATCAGGCAAGAAAGGCCAGTCATTCCTCAGACGTCGAAAACAAAGAATGTGTGTGGCTGTGATGGCCTCAGGCCCCTGAGGGAGTCTCCAGACCATGATGAAGGAAGGCGCAGGGTCCTGACGAGCCCAGGAGCACCTGAGTTGGGGAGATGGAGCTGCGAGCTCAGGGATGCCAAGGCGCCTGGTGTGAGCAGGACAGACAGCCAGAGGACAGTGCCACCAGGGAGACTTCCGGGGATCTGTAGAGGCCCCCAGAGCATCCAGTGCTGGGCACCGTGTGGTGTGAGGAAACTCTCCACAGCCAGGGAAAGAACCACCCAGAAGGAGTAGAAGGAGAAAGAGCCTGTGCTGACACAGGGCTGGGACAGTGCCCGCCCTCACCAGTGAGAGACAACAGTCTCATCGTGCACAGGGCTGGGACAGTGCCCGCCCTCACCAGTGAGAGACGGCAGCCTCGTCGTGCACGGGGCTGGGACAGTGCCCGCCCTCACCAGCAAGAGACGACAGCCTCATCGTGCACAGGGCTGGGACAGTGCCTGCCCTCACCAGTGAGAGACGACAGCCTCGTCGTGCACAGGGCTGGGACAGTGCCCGCCCTCACCAGCGAGAGACGACAGCATCATCGTGCACAGGGCTGGGACAGTGCCCGCCCTCACCAGTGAGAGACGACAGCCTCATCGTGCACAGGGCTGGGACAGTGCCTGCTATCACCAGCGAGAGAGGACAGCCTCGTCATGCACAGGGCTGGGACAGTGCCCGCCCTCACCAGTGAGAGACGACAGCCTCGTCGTGCACAGGGCTGGGACAGTGCCTGCTATCACCAGCGAGAGACAACAGCCTCGTCGTGCACAGGGCTGGGACAGTGCCTGCCCTCACCATTGAGATACGACAGCCTCGTCATGCACAGGGCTGGGACAGTGCCCGCCCTCACCAGTGAGAGACGACAGCCTCGTCGTGCACAGGGCTGGGACAGTGCCCGCCCTCACCAGCGAGAGAGGACAGCCTCGTCGTGCACAGGTGCAGCTCTCAGAGTGGTCCTGCCCCAGCGCTGGATGAGGCACTGCTCAGCCTCACAGAGCTTACGGTCAAGATCTGAAGGAACACAACTCGTCCAAGAACAAAGCACAAGAATATCCGTAGAGTTACAAAGTTACACAGCACCAAATAAGGTAAAATTCACAATGTGTGACACTCCATTTAATTTTACCAGACATGCTAAGAAGCAGTAAAATGTGGCCATAACTAGGGGACAAATTAACCAACCCAAGCCAGAACTGACAGATGCTAAACTTGGTAGATAAGAACTTTTTGGTATATTAAAATAAGTAAGTATAGATATAAAAAATATAAAAACGCTCCAATTAAGTTTCTAGAGATAAAACAACAGTGTTTAATCTGAAAAATACACTTAATAGGATTAATAGCAGATAAGGCATCACAGAAAATATTAGTGAATATGGAGGCAAAGAAAAAAACTAAAAGGAAACAGAAAGAAGAATTTAAAAAACAAGAACAAGGCATCAGAGAACTGTGGGGCAACTCCAAGTGGTCAATGAAACATGCAGCTGACGCTCCTGAAGACAGGAAAGAGGGGGAGAAAGAAAAAAGTATTTGAATTAATAATGACATTGGGAAATTTACCAAATTTGATACAAGTTAGAAACTCACAGGTCCCAAAATCCCAATGTCCCACAAGCACACAAATATGAACAAAACTACATAAAAACCACACTAAGCCACCTCATAATAAAATTTCTTCAAACCGGTAATAAAGACAAAATCTTGAAAGCACCCAGTGAAATGACGTGTGTCATTCAGAGGAAGAGAGGAAAGGCTAAGAGATTTTCGTCCGAGCCAATGGGAGACAGGAGAGCGCAGAGCAGCCCTGCTGGAGAGGAGAGAACGAAGGCGGAACAAACACCCGACCAGACTCGAGAGCATTCAGGGGACCCATCGTCAACAGCCCTGGAAAACTACCGTGAAAGAAAGTTCTTCACACAGATAAAGAGTGTCAACATCCGTCTGCACAACAGAGCACAAAGCAGCAATGTGGCGACTGCATTTCACGTGTGCGCACACGTGTGTGTTGCATGTTATTTACATTTGTTAAAAGAGAGTGGACGGTTTAAGCAAAGCAAGCACAGTGTAGGGAGGATTTGCAACCCGTGTAGGGTGAAAGGCACAGCGACCACAGCCAAGGCCTGGGGCAGAGGTGGGGCTGCAAGTGCAGTTTCTCACTGTCCACGGAAGGCTGCGGTCCTCCTCCAAGGGATTCGTGGATTCAGCAAAATCCTAATCAAACTCCCAGAGGAAGTTTTTAAAGAAGTTTACATGCTAGTTCTAAAATTGGCATGAAAATGCAGACACCAGCCATTCCCTTCCTGGCATTTACCCAAGGTAAGTG